TAATATAGTGCGAACTAATAAATAATAAAACAAAAATGTTAATAACAAATAAGTTTTCCTATATTTGTAAAGTTGGGGTACGCGACAGACTTACCTTCACGTGGTGTACCTTGGGCGACGTTTACTCATATGGAAAAAAAGCCTATTAACTGGCAGTTGACTTCTGACTTCAAACTACCATGACCCAACTATATGCCATATTCTACCACTTCCTCAGTACTCACCTTACCTTTCTCTACCTTTTTGTCTGTCTGTCTCTTTTACGTCTGTGAATCACTCTTCTGTTCCCCCCTCTCCACCTTTGGTGACTTTGCCTGTTCCTCCCCTCTGTGAAGCTCGAAGTCAACTAAAGGGCGAATGATAACCATCAAAGCACCTGTCATTTGATATGAATAAATAAAAGATCAATAAATATGTGTTAAGGTTGCATGTGCATTGAAATCTATTGAGGGGGGGGGGGCGGAGGGGGGGGCATTTTGTCACGCCTCCAGTAGAAATGGAAAGCCTTCTTTGCTATCTATTTTCAAGTGACTATAAAGAATTCCCAATCTCGTCTAATGGTATGGTTGAAATTTTCGTTAAAATAAAGGTCTGTGCTGGTCAATAGCTATCCACAAACGTATATTAGAATGCATTCACACAGAGAGCTTTTTGCTATCGATAAGGTGGTACACTTATAGCAGACACTTATAATTACTACAAATAAAGGTTGAATTAATTTTACATCTCACTAGAGGCCCATCTAATAGTTAATATAAGAAAGTATTATCGATGCGAATTCGCATTTGATAATTCATTGGGCTTTTTGAGAGATAAGTTGGGCTCCAAGCTACTAACGGTAAAAGTTTGCTTTGGTGAAGTTGGCATCAGTGAAGAGAACAAGCCCCGACTTCTGGATGGTAGAGTTGGCGTCAGCACCATAGGTAGGAGTGGGAACATATACCCGATCAACTTGATTCACGCTGTTGTACCAAATGAATTTGTAGGGGGTCTGCGCATGTGCCTCGTAATTCCACATCTCATCGACCACCTGAAAGTGTTAAATCAAAAAAAAAAAACTGGAAGATGTTTAGCTAACTGAAATATCACCTACAGCCGCATATCTTCAAATGCACATTTCAAAGAATCCTCATCGATTTCTCCAAATTAGTCTGCTTCTAGGAGGCAGTACTTACATTCAATATATAACGATAAATTAAGTTCCACTTTATTGAACCGAGTTGGCAAGTTGATTTCTTACTGGCAATACGATGGCAAGAAAATGTTTAAAAAGAGCATTTTTAACGACAATGAATATTTGTTTTACAAAACCAAACTGTTTGGTGATATTTGTGTTCCAATTTTTAAGAAATTCAAAGATCAACATACTCATTTTCCTTATTGTATTGAACCTTCCTCCTGGTGGTGTTCCTATCCCAAGTCACGTCCACAAGACTAATAAATTTTGCAGAAGGCCTAGCAACGATAACCTTTTCTGTTTCTTATCGCTGGTATCACTACCCTTAGCTGCTTTTAAGATAAAAAACTTATTAACCCTCACGCACATCATATCTCAGTCTTATTGGTTTAAATTTGTGCGTTTAACGCCAATATTTACATTAAGAGAGGTGAGAAAGAAAGTTTCCCTTCCACGAAATAGGAAATTTGTGAGGAAAAATCAAATCCATACAAGTCAACTACATCGAATTAGGTAAATGAGTCAGTGAACGGAATTGAATTCAAAATTAATGTCACGGTAAGCCATGTGCAATCCCCAAGGTCACTTAATCTTATTTATACTGCAAGGGGTTTCTAAGTCATGCTGAAGAAATTCAATAAAATAATCTTCCTAAGGAAAAAAAATCAAAAGAAATTTTCAATACGAGTTTTGAAACTGAGTCCGCTTACATCGTTTTCCTGGATGAAGGATGGACTATCGTATCGGAACAGATCTGCATGGAGCACATTAACGGCCAAATATGATCCAGGTGTAGCCTTTCCACGAACCTCCACAGTGTCGAGATTTAGATCCTTTCCACGGTTGATTTGAATCTCCACATTATTAACACGACTGTAGTTGGTGAAGAATGTGAGACTGTCCGCGAGGATTTCTCCGTCGCTTTTCACACAAAAAGCTAAAATTCGACAGATTGGAGCCATTGCTTTGGATACAGCGATCGAGAATGATCGGAAAGTCACAGTACTCTTCAAGGTCATGCGATCTGAGGTTATGATATTTCCTCCGGCTGTGACCTTAATGAAGACGAAATCAAGATAAATGATAACTACTTATAAAAATGTTGGAAATATTTGTGATTACTGATACTTACTATATAGTGAATGGTATCCATGGGATAATTTGTTTCAACATTTAGAACCATGTATTCACCAACCTATTTGAAATAAAAAATGTTGAATATTGATTTAATGCACAAGATGGAATGATAAGAGGGAAGACTTTGGAAAGCGATTTTCATATTAGATGAACTTCAGAGGACTTTTCTCAGCATTCGAATTTTCCAGACTCTGTTTTAACTCAGTATTCCATTGTTATTCATGATCTTTTGAATACCACGACTATTTACAACTACTCATTAAAAATAAGTACCATATTTAAAGAATGAATTTTATCCAATTCAATCACTTTTGTACTCTGAATATATCGCAGTTTATAACTTGCATATTAAACAAAACATGAATATATTTATGAAACTGAGCTAAGATTGGGCAATTTATACGATATGCAAGATTAGAAAAGACTCCGATGTGTTTATTATTTTTTTTTGGGGGGGGAGGGGGTAATTGGAATCCCTACCTGGGGTTGGGGAGTGGTTGTGGTCAATTGGAGATAAGTACTTGAGGGCGACTGGAATCTGAATAGCCGTTGATAAGCGGTCGCGAGGATCACTGAGTTTTCATCCAGAAATGATGCCTAAAATGAGTAAAATTGAGCTTAATCAAATTGATAGAAATGGAAAGCAAGACGCATTGACTAATTCTGACTAATGTGCTAGTGAAAGAGCAGACGGAGATGATGATAGTATGGGGTGTACGATAGACTTGCCTCCACATGGTACAACCTGGGCAACGTATATTCCTGCGGCCAAAAGTCTAGACACCGGCAGTTGACTTCTCACTTTAAACTTCCATGACCCAACTGTATGTCATATTCGGTCACCTTCACGGTACTCACCTTATCTTTTCTCTACTTTGGTGTCTGTTTGCCTCTTAAATCTGTGAATCACTCTTCTGTTCCCCCTCACGACTTTTTCTCACTTTGATGTTCCACCCCTCTCTTAAGTCCGAAGTCAACTAATGGACTAATGATAGCTATTAAAACGTCTGCCATTTGATATCAATAAATGCCAGTATTCAAGACTTTGACACACAAATTTGAATCGTTGATGGTAATTAAGAATACTCACTCCACTGTTTATGCAGTAATCCTCATAGGGCTAAACTATTCGTCTTTCTCTTAGCCAGGATTTCATGAGATCATCCCTTGTCTCCTTTCTTCATTGATGACACAACCGAGTTTTGCGAAAAATTTTAAAATAGGTTGTAATGCATGTCTACTTAAGATTTACTTTTGATGACTAATCACACTCATCCACAACCAAAAACTGTAGTGCATTCAGTAGGACGATCGTTAAAAGTTTATTAGTACTTTTAAAAAATGTATTGCTTGTAGAACTGGAGTCGTTTCTTTCTTTATACTTTATCTGAATGAATGAAAGAATGAATGAGTATACAATTTACCTGAAGTCTCAAGTAAGTGCAGGACTCTTCATTTGTTGGACGGAATGTGTATTGGATTAGAGCATCGTCGGGAATTGGTAGAAGCACCGATCTCAATTCTGCGCCTTCAGAGCAGGTGAAAGTGAGTTTAACTCGCCGGTTGCCAATGTAAAGTGGTTGATGACCATCAGCTGTAAAGATCACCATCTGCAAGGAAACGCATCAAAATCAATTAATCAATAATCAAAGAAGAGTGAGCAGTACTTTCAAAAGAGTGTTCGAGTTTGTTAGTTTTTTTACATTGCACGAGTTGTTTAGACATTGGACCTAAGAGTTTAGCCGCAACTTTAAGTTTCTTTTCTATCGAATTGTTAAGCCTTTATATTCACAATGCTTTAAAACTGATCGTTTCGGTGTGAGAACACTGGTGGTTTAAAGTGGAGCGGTGACGAGCTTTGATGAAGCATTTTCACCACCATACGGCTAAGACAATTGCAGAAATATTCCGTTAGCGATGAAATTTTACCAGGATTGATTTTATCGCTGGAAATGGTCTTGCCAGTTGACCTCATGTTACCAGTAATAATCCTTAACGCTCCATAGACAACAGTATTAAATAGTTATAAATGAAGTAAAGTCGAATAATTGTCAAAATGCATTATTGGAATCTCTTTTCTTAACTGTGAATTTATCGTTGATGAAGAGAAATGAGAGGCGTGTGAAAGAGTAGAAAGAAATTGTGTTTTTGCCTAATTGTACATCGGCACTAGTGAATCACTTTGGGTGCGCAAAAAGAAGAGACAGACAAACAGATAAACAAAAAAGTAAACAACTCACAAAAGCGGTGAAGTACATTCCAGGCTTATAAGTTCTCACATCTCCACCGAGAAATTTGATGTTTGAATTCGCCGAAAAGATCTGGGTGTAAGCCCAGCCAGAATGGACATCATTTTCCCACCAATTCAACACAGATACATTAGCCCAGATATCCATATTAGCCAGCGAAGGTTCTGTTCCTCCAGTTGTCGCTAGCTGTGCCCGAAGTTCCGAGAAAGGCACGATAAACCCAGCATGTCCATCCAACTAAATAGCAAAAATGGGATGCAGCACGTATTGCTACTGAAATATTATAAATAGTAAAGATATTTGTACTTGAACGATAGTGCGTCGGACTGTTCCTGCAGGCGGCTTTGACCACATATCCTCTCCTCGTTCCCGCATTTCGATGACTACGGTCGCGTTTCCTCGGACATATTTCCCACTTGTGTAGTTAGCCTGAATAAGTCCAGTTAGAGCGAAGTCTTCATCAGAATATCTGGGCAGCATTGTTACGTTTACATCCCATAATCTTGCCCCTAAAAATATGGTTATACCTTGCAAGCAGGGAACGCTTACAGTATTCCACCACTCGAAATGTCTTTTCGGCAACATATTTCTCATGACGAGCTCGAATTGTCCAATCACCTTCATTCACCTGATCAGCCAATTGGAAATCCAATTCGATTATTCCACCGATATTAGTCATTGGATTCAACCAGCGTTTGAAAAGGTTATTCGATGAATCAGCTACTTCGATTGAAATCAGGGATCCAAACCATGGCATAAGATCTGGTTGGACTGGGATGACTCGAAATCTAACTATTTGGCTTTGGTGGTAAATCGGTTTGCTAGTCTTTAGAAGAAAACATAGACTTCAAATTCGGTTCATATACCTGAATAAGTAAAGATACGGTTTTTGGATAGAGTTCAATCATAGTTCGATTTTGAAAGAGAAGGGAACTGTTGGATGATATGTAACCGTCAAGATGTAGCCAGTAATCGCCAGCAGATGCTTGATTGGGAACCTTTTGGAAAAATTAAAAGATCGTTTCGAATTATCATACCTTCATTTGAAGAACTCGTGTTCCGGTTGCCACGAATACTGAAGAGGTAGATATTAATTCCATTACTCCTTTCTTAATTGAGAGTCGCATGGTGATTTGGGGATAAACCATTCGCAGAATGGAGATACTGATCTGGACATCTTGATCTGGGCGAATTCGTTGAGGAGCTAATATAATGTAAGAACTAAAGGCGTTAGTATGAAACGAAATAGTGCTTTACGGAATGGGTTCCAATGTGTAACCACTCGTTTGTTGGGGAGATACCAGATGAATGCGGAATAAAATGACGACGAAAATGCTTAAGAATAAAAAAGTCAAAGTGTCAAATATTAATAATTCACTTAGAATAAATGCTTTAAGAAACAAATTATGCAAGCATATGGAAAATAGGGAAAGTGTTTAAAAAATATGATAAATTATTTCAGAATTTTTAACATGACGGACACATTTCAACTCTTTTGTGCCCAAACAAAAAATAAATTTTATAAATAATACTTATTTTTATTACAATCTCTAAATGTGTTTACTCATTGGTTGAAAATGAAAATTTAAAAAATGAAAATATTAATTACAAGAAATCATAGGACGTGATTTTAATGAATAAATTGTGAAATCGGTTTTATAAAATGCATTTTTAAGGTACAGTGGTAAAATTGATCAAACAGACCTGAAATAATATGAAAAGTCATATCACTAATTAGCCAACATTTATGCGATAAGATAAACTATGTAAAGTTCTATTAAACTCAACTTATCGAATTGTGGGAAATAGCTTCCGTTATGAACTAAAATGCTTTTTATATATTTTAAATATATAAAGGCTGAATGTGAACAGCTAGCAGCATGTACAAGTGGTTTAAAATGATTTGACAAAATTAATTAAATGAATACTTGACTTACCATGCTATGTACATTTCTTTCAAAAACTGGAAAATTGTACAAAATCTTTAATGAACTATCATTTAACGGAAAGTACTTCAAAATATTTTTTACTTTTAATAAATACTATTTAGTTGATAAAACAAACTAAGGTCATATTTGCATTAAAAACAAATAATTATTTTCAATAAAATTCAATTTTTGTATTTAATATAAGGTTTTATTTTATTTTACGTTTGCATGGTTTTGTTTTTGCTAATGGTTATCTTTAAATTGTATAATATTTAATTTTAAACTATTTTATGTGGCAATAGAACTTACTAATATTACACACAATTATCAAAATATGCGTTTAAAGCTTTTGATATATTTTTAACACCAAGCGTCATGTTGATTTTAATTTGTCAGATATTTAATTTTCTTAATCTTTCGTATTCTAAAAATTTTGTTGTTATTCTTCAAGGAGAAAACTAAATTTCTTCAATAAATCTGGGTCCTTATTAGCTCTTAACCTAGCTATTTGCATGAGAGATTCGATCTTCCATCTATGTTGTTTCTGTTCGTAGTAGGCCCCATTTGATCAGACATATACGGTGTTGTAATAACTTAATGCAACAACATATTTCGCTTTTTCAATCATTAAAATGGACTGAATTCGTTTTGTAGTTTAATATTATGTTCTCCTATTAGCTCATTTTTAAAATGATACTTTTGGTAAATTTTTCACTATAATCTGATTGTATATACCTCTTTACCTGAAAACTCCATGAACCAATCACTTAATAAGTTAGATCAAAAGTTACTCATCTATCCGTGACTAACCTTGGCATCCATTTAAATGAACAATTCCGTCACTTTAATTAAAACCCAATTAATCGAATTTAAGTGATGTTTGTCAAGAACACACATAAAGTCCTATGAAGTGGCAGATAATTTATAATCTGAATGTCTTCCGAATGTTTCATACAATGCATTTTCATTGGTACATTTCTATTATCCAATTAGGGGGTGTGTGATAGACTTACCTCCACGTGGTGCACCCTGGACAACGTATATTCATACGGCAAGTCTATTAACTGGCAGTTGACTTCTCACTTCAAACTACCACCACCTCACTCTATGCCATATTCGACTATTTCCACAGTACTCTTCGTACCTTTTTTCTACCTTTGTGTTTGCCTCTTACATCTTTGAAACACTCTTCTCTTCCCCCCCCCCGTCTCGACATTTTTCACTCTGATGTTCTTTCTCCTCTGTGAAGCCTGAAGTCAACTAAAGGGCTAATGATAACCATCAAGACCCCTGCCATTTG